ATGTCGATTGGTCAGTTACAATGAAGTTGTTAGCGGAAATATTGAATTGTATAATTGGGAAGAAATATGATTCAGCGAAATCAAAAGATGCTTAGAAAAGAGTGACAGAACTAATTTCAACTAGGAACTAATTTCAACTCGGAACTAATTTCAACTCGGAACTAATTTCAACTGGAAACTAATTTAATTTCGGAACTAATTTAATTTCGGAACTAATTTCAACTGGGAACTAATTTCAACTGGGAACTAATTTCAACTCGCAACTAATTTCATCTCGGAACCAATTTCGTCTCGGAACTAATTTCAACTCGGAACAAATTTCAATTCGGAACTAATTTCACCGCGGAATTAGTTTCAACTGGGAAATAATTTCAAATGGGAATTAATTTCATCTCGGCAGAACTAATTTCAACTCGATTTAAAATCAAAGTTATCAATTTCCGTGAATTCCTAAACAAAATGCAATTAGTTGGTGTTAATTGTTTAATTTCGCATTAAAAATCCTTAGTAGATAAGATAATTTAGAATTCATCTTTTCTGCAATTTTCATACTTTTTTGTTGCAAATGAATAAAGTGGTAATTTTATTTACTTTTATTCATTTAAATCTGATCCTATAAAAATGCAATATTCTTTATAGTTAGTTCCGAGTTGAATTTAGTTCCAAGTTGAAATTAGTTCCGAGTTGAAATTAAATTCTGCACCCCCTAGAAAAATATTCATTCATGAACTCATTCACTAGACTTAGCACCAACTATTTTATATCTTATTCGATCGCTGCGACACTGATGAAAAAAGGATTCAAGAATTTGTCGAAATGTTTCGATATTAAAACTTGTGGAATTTTGCTCAAATGCTATCGAAGATTTGCCAGATAATTGCCACCATGCCAGGGTAAAATCACTTCGAATCCGTTTTCTTCAAGACCCCACCTTTTCTTCAAGACCCCACCTTAAGCAAAAGGAGAAAAGGCAGACAGTGGAAAAATTGTCTGCCAGCGTCAATTGGGTGGAAACTCAGACATTGGCACGCAACCGAGATAAATGGAAGTAGCTGATCAAGTGCTCAGGTGTGGGTCTACCATATAACCACACTCAGTCGCTGGGTTGTTGTAGATAAGGATGATGATGATGTCTATAACGAACTCAACCGGAATTCGAACGCGGCTCGATGATTTCTCGATCTGGGACGATCACTCTTTTGTCATCTGAACGTGTGGCGTTATTGTCTATGCCAGTGGTTCCCCAAGCGATTTGAGGCCATGCCCCACTTTGGTATTTCTAAAATTCTGCTACCCTTCCTGTAGTATTTAATTCTTAAATGTATTCCAAATACACATGTATATGCATGCACACAAAATATTTTTATGTATACATACTGTATATGCGTCGCATGTACTAACACGCATTAATATTAACACTCTCACTGAAATTCACAAGAAAAGAATTCACTGTTAATAACTCCTTCTCGAATTGCCTCTTTATTCTGTTGCACCTTTTACGCATGCCTCAGCAAAATATTATCATGCCCCACAGTCTACGTACATTGACAAAAATATTTAAAGAAAAGATATCTTCCTTCTTTTTATGTTACATTTTTCATTTTTTCTCTTAATTTGTTATTCAAATTCGAATTTCAAGATTCCAATCCCTTTTTAGATTTCTCGGAGATTAGGTTCGTTGTCAGGCTTTTTGACATTAATTTATTTTAAAACCTTTTTATGCTATTAACAAAACTGGCATTTCAACGCTGGAATATAATAGTTTTGGCGCCTATTGACCGGACATTAATGCAATACCATCGCCAATTCTCATTCTGTCATGGATCACAAGAGTCAGCTATTTTAGTTACGCAATAAGATATTGACAGACGACCGGCAAAAACAAAAAAAAAAACATTGTTTTTTTTTTTCAGGTACATCAAAGCAACGCTGGCAACAGAAAATATCTGTCATCGTTTCTTTCATATCTTGTTTAAATTGCTTGACGTTTTCAACTTGACGATTTTCTTGTTTACTCGTTTTGCGGCCAGTAAGAGTTTGACGTTTCCACACCAAATTTAGAAGAAAGAAATTTTATGGAATGAAAGTAAAAAAAAAAAAATAAAAATAAAACAAAAAAATAAAAAAAATGAGACCAATTCTAGAGAAGTTATTTCCTCCGATTTAAAAAATTCTTTTTCTATCATCAAAACTTAAAATTAATTCCTTTCCGATGTATATCGCTTTCTTTGTAATTTTTAATGCCTTCCGATGGTAAAATCGATAGCTACGTATTTACATTATAAATAAAATAACTCTATTATGTCAATAACACTTGGTCTAGTTCTTGACCCCAGACTATCTCTTACCCTTTGTTTTTTAATTGTACGATTATAAATAAAATTGTACTAGTTCCTGAACACAGACTATCCCTTACCCTTTGATTTTCAATAAACGCTTATAAATAAAATTGTACTAGTTCCTGACCTCAGACGATACCTTCCACATTGTTTTTCAATGTACAGTTATAAATAAAATTAATATCAGTACCTTGACATATTCTATAAAATAACTATCTTAGTATGTCTTGCATTAATTCCTGACCGCAGAGTATACCTTTCTTCTCGTTTTTCAATGTACGACTGCAGTAAAATTCATATCAGAGCATTTACCTTATTTTTTTTCTTTCAGATTTGTTTTCAAGAATCTCGAGATAAAATAAACAAAACTGCCAGGCCAGAAGTGAAATCAATATTCGTTGTACGGAAGGAAGGACGGTAGACATAGAAATATGCAAGATAGAGTCTGTCAAGAAAAAACTAACTAACATGACAGTGAACAAACTTTCCTCACAACAGAGGAATTAATTGATTGAATATAATCGTGCTTTTTTTGTTGTGGCTGTTTAATCAGCGAAACATTTTAAAAGAAGGGTTTTCAAATTGTTTGATATTTACCACTCCGTCAGACTCTCATCCACATTTAAATTAATCTCAATCGACATCTCCAGTTGCCTTGATCTATCCACTCTCCTTCTCCTCATCCTTTCCTCTATCACTCCTATCTGATCTTGCTCCAAATCTTCTGCAACCCCTTGCGTCCTAGTGTCCTTGCTTGGGGTGAAACGCTTTAAATATATATATATATATATATATATATATATATATATATATATATATATATATATATATATTGCGTGCCTCCTAGGATAGCGGCTCGGATCAATTCCAGTCGAATCCATTACATTTACTTACGAGCTAATACCCTTGGGAAAGGTATGAATCGTCGTCTCCTCCACCCCCCCACACACACCTCGCTATAGGTAAATAGCAGGACAGACTGGGTTCTATAGACATGGATGACAACTGGTCTAGGAGAAAGACAACTCTGAATTCAAAATCTACGGAGGGTCGTTTGGGGATTTGTTGCACATGGTGCACAAGGTCTCTGTGTCCGAGTCTTCAAAAAATGTTGTTGGTTCTGCACAAAGCCCTCACCACTATAATAAAATCATATGTGCAAGTGCCTGGCTGTCGGTCCCTAGGAACGTTGGTCTCTGTATTCGGCCCTTCAAAATGTGTGGATGGTTCTTCACAAAAGCTTCACCACTATAATCAAATCTCATGTGATGGTGTCAGGCTGTCGGTTTCTAGGAACTGATCTGTTTGATCCTCATGCGTCGAATTCGATGGTAGAGTTGAGTAGTCGAGTATATATATATATATATATATATATATGTATATGTGTGTGTGTGTGTGTGTGTGTGTGTGTGTGTGTGTGTGTGTGTGTGTGTGTGTGTATATATATATTGCGTATGTTTTGGAAGCATATTTTCATTAAGACATGACTCATTGAATAATTGAGACAAGTTTAGTCTTCTTATTTTCATTAAGATCCTCTAATATCCACGGACAAGCTTCATAGTACCCTTATTAAAATAAGAGAGAAAATTACCATGTTGATACACATTCATTTTTCCGAGTACTTTCGACATTAGCACAATCTCATCATCAGGGTGCTTTTTTTCTAAGACAGAAATTGTCGTGTTCATCATTTTTGTAAGATAAAATTATTGCGTTCCTTTGAAAGTAAATATTTTTTATCTGTGAAGGGAAAAACGATAAGGCTATGTACTGTATGACTTAAATTTCACGATGTAAACGTTATGGGAGGTAACTAACTTATGAAATGTCCATGCCCCTCAAGACCTTCCGACCAGAGACTTTCCTTATATATATATATATATATATATATATATATATATATATATAAAAAAAAAAAGAAAGAACATATAATCCGGTGTTCTTATAGATATTTTAAAATTTACAGAGCATTAATATTATAAATTAATTGATTTAAAAGCGAAAAAAAACACATTTTAAATCAATTAATTTATAATATATATATATATATATATATATATATATATGAAATTATCTAGATGTCTTTTGGAAATCCCTGTACCTAAGTGACATTTGGAACATCCTGTATACAGAGTGATTGAAAAGTAACTCCCTATTTTTATGTACGATGGACTCTCCCGTCTAGTTAAAATTATAGTTAGAATGGAGAGTCCATCTTAAATAAAATAGGGAGTTACTTTTCGATCATACTGCATATTAGATATATTTTTTTAATCATTTCCTCTCAAGCAAGGCGATAATGCCACTTAGACACAATGGATTATTTGTGGGGTAGGGGTGAAAGAAAATAGGAAAACTTCAAGAGAAGTATTCCGGAAACGCAATCCTTAACAGGAAAGAAGGGATAAATCCCTACTCCTGTTCAAATGACAGAAAAGGATTGTGAACAGGGCGATAGGCGAACCTATCTAGTCTTACTGCGATGACTGTCCATTTAATTTTTTTTTATCTTTATCATACAGAGGTCTCCTCTTCAAAGCATTCATGGTCAGAATAAAGATTCTCTAAACATGATGTAAATAATCTCAGCAACTATTGTAAATAAAATCAAGTAATCTGTTCATTTTATTCATTGAAAAGCTATGTTTCAATTTCCTGTTACAGGGTTGTGCTAAAGAAAGAAAGAAAGAAAGAAAGAAAGAAAGAAAGAAAATACGGGAAGCCTTTGAAATGACTGACTGCAGACGATAAGTTTGCTTGCGAGGATTTAATTGAATTTTTTTTACCTCCATTTTTTTTTTCTGTGTGTGTGTGTGTTTTCAAGTTGGGAAGTCAATTTTTCGCTTATTAGTTTCGCAGGCTTAAAACCTTCACTGAAAATAAATCGTAACATTTATTTGACTCATACGTCCCACAATCTCCGACGGTCGCTTCAGCTTGCGATCATGTTTCTGCAAAGTATTCATGCTAAATCAGTCGATGCTTTTTCGCTGTTTGGGTTACTATGTTTCGTCAACAGAAGGAGATAAAAAGTAAACGAATGAATGAATAAGGAGATTAATTAATGGATAACCGTTGAGTGAAGGGGAAGAAACGGGAAACGCTGTGATTAATCTTTCGTAAATGGATTAATGGAAACTTATAGAAAAAGAATAAAGTCCATTTCTAGATGTACATTTAATCTAATAATTCAGACAGTCTGATGCCGATCAGTGAACGGGATATCTAAGTGGATAATAAAGTCTGTCTCAGTAGCACAAAGATAAACAGAAATCTCATCGTGATTTAGTTTCTGGCAACAGGATCATTACTACCGATCAAGGCCAGTGCAAATATCTCGTACCCAGTCGCGAATCTATGACACGGGAAGGCGCCCCGACGCTACTATATGTCAATTTTTTTAAGATAGTATTAATAGAAAATACAAATTTTATTGTGACTTTAATATGCACAAATATTGGATCTTATGCAATATAAATGAACAATTCAACTAGAAAAACTGAAAATAAAAACAATGTATCTAAATACAAATTAGAGACATGTCATAATACATAATTCCAATTTAAATTAACAATGTTTTGCGTCAATTTTTAACATCAACTTGAGATTTTTCTGATTGAAAAGTTAAAAATTTTAACACATTATGGATGAAAAAATAGTATTTTATATAGTTTTTTTTTTTTTTTCGAGACTTAGCGGATTTGGATTAAAAAAAGGCCCCAAAATAACGTCAACATCCGCGGACATTTTTTACTCTTTGATAGTTGTGCTGAGTTTAATCTGTAACGGATATAAATGTAGGCAAAAATGCAAGAGTTGATAAGATAGCGTGGATCACAAAGTACTGCTCGGCGCCACGATTAGGCTTACCCACCTAGGTCGGAAGTGGAGGAGGTTTCGGTTGCAATATCCACCGGCCCTTCTACAGGCCTGAATATTTGAGAAATCTTAAAGAAAAATACGTGCCCTCGAGTAGGATTCTAACCTGCACCCGACTTTGTAGGAGGCACCGTCGTTATATCCGACGTGCCTATACCGACTTAGCCATGAAGGACATTGCCAATCAAGCATGTCAGGATAGTGGCTTTAAGAGAAATCTTTCTCATCATACATTCTCTAAATTTCATATATGCACAGTTCCGGATCTAAACGCAAACAAAGCAATTGACAAAGAGGTAATGGATTGTTTTTATTTATTAAACAGACAGACTTTTTTATCACTTAAACTTAATTTTTAATGGATACTCATAGTTGAATAGACATCCCGTTTTCTGTTTTTAATTTTTGGACAGTTATTACTTACATTATTTAAATTATTTGGACTGTTATCCTCATCATCATTGCCATATTCACAACGTTTCGGCCGTTGTACGCTCCGGCCTTCTTCAAGTGAATGGAATTTCGAACCGAACCTTTTATTTCGTCCACCGGGGTAGATTGTTGTAGTTCCACGTGCCATGCCTTAAGGATACATAGCCCAGTGGATTAAGACGTTGGTTCAGCACTTCTGTAGCCTGGTATTGAACTCACAGCAGTGCTGAACCAGAATACTTGGAGAGCTGAGTTATAAGGGTAATAACTAAGACGCATTTTGTTAACCCAAGACGTTTTATACTCCATTTGTCGGACACAAATTCTATTGCACAACATTTAAAGACACATTCCTTGTCCACCTTCAAAACACAGGAAAATACTTGTTGACAACAACAATATACTACACGACGAAAATAAAAAACAAAAATCTTTAAATTCTCGAGGCTTTCTATATCAAAAGCAACACTGAACAAGATTAATTAAATTAGTAGCAATGTTTTAAAATGCTTCTGATTTTGCTACTGTGTTGTTATTTTTGAGGATAAGGTTAGCTGTTTTAAATTTTTTGTAGCAGATAATTAATTTAATTTTTTTGTTTGGGTATATATATATATATATATATATATATATATATACACAAAAATAATAATTTTTAAAAAAATAGTTAACGCAAGACCTTTAAAAATGTAAAATAAATAGAGAAATAATTAAACAAAATAAAATTAAAATTACATTAAAAATAAAAATTTATCAGCAGCAACATTTACTCACTTTCGTACATTAGGCAATAAATTATATCACTTGGCATCTTCCATAGCTTACTTTGCCTAACAGTAAGAATAAGGAATATTTTAGAACTTACACAAATTCAAAATTTAACAATGTTTTCCTATCATGTTACTTTTGTGTATAAATACAATTTACAAATTTAAAATCTCCACATTTACCTAGATAAGTACCTCAGGGGGACAAAATGCATTGGTAAAGAAAAGTTTTCCTTTTGTTTTCATTAAATAATATAGACATATTATGTTTACTTTCATTGATAATAATCCTTTCTAGTTCTCTAATTATCTTCTTGATAATCACAACATTATCAAGATGCCTTATACTCCATTTATTGGATACAAGTTATATAGCACACTTAAGGACACATTCCTGTCCACCTTCACAATACAGGAAAATACTTGCTGACAACACCAATATACTACACCATGAAAATTATAAACAAAAATCTTTAAATTCTCCAGGCTCTCTATATCAAGAACAACCAACCAACACTGAACAAGATGTATGAAGGGCATAGTAGCAATGTTTTAAAATGCTTTTGAGTTGACTAACATTTAACATCATGTTGCATTTTGTCATCGCTGGCTACCCCCTTGCATAGTGAACGCTTGTTTACAAAACATCGTAACCACAACCGTTAATTTTAAAATAATTATAACAGAGCGCGTTCGCATGTTATTACAAAAATCACTATCACAGCAATTACAGTTACATTAAGTTTGTCTCTGCAATTCACCCCTGAGGAGGATTTCGTTCTTGTGTTAACAAAAAAATAAAGGCGCCTTCCTTGATGAATTTCAAGTTAACATCACAAGGATAATGAGAGAACTAGAAGAGATTATGATAAAAATAAATAGCATGATGTGTCTATATTATTTAATGAAGGTATACTGCATATATATATATATATATATATATATATATATATATATATATATATAAATGATATCAGTCGATGGCTAGTATGTCAGGTTTTTTTATTTTTTTGTTAACTTTCCGTTTTTCTGGATCTCTTAATTCCTTTTCCTTTCCCCTTTTCCTTTCCCCTCTCATGTCTATATCTCTTTCTCTTTCCCCTAAAAAAACTTATATTGAAATCTCCCTCTGTTCTTTCCCCGTTTTTTATTTCCACTTTTAATATTAAAATTTCTTCCTTTTTCTCTCTATTCTTTCCTTTTTTCTTCTTTTTCTTTTCTTTGTGTCTGAATAAATTGAACTCTATTTATTTATGCAAAACTGGTCTGAAGAGATAGGCGTTTAAGGTCCACGAATTAAATTTGTAACCTGACAATATAGATTTTTAAGGATTCTGTATTCATTCATTGTTGAGTGATAAGCTAATTCTATAAACAACAGCCACCTGCGTTAATGCAAAGCAGACCAGTAAAATAAATTGGAGCACTCCGGTTGATTGGGATTACATTCGTAAAAACAATACGCTAGATTTAGTTACTTTCTCTCTGTCGAATGAGTATAGCTCAGTGGTAGAAACTCTGACAGATCGTTTGGGTTTCGATCCGGGCTTGAAGTATTCGGATATCTAGTCGCACCGAGGAACTGTGATACAGCGAAAAAGTACTGTCTGCGAATATATATATATATATATATATATATATATATATATATTTTATCATATAGACAAAACCATTTTACTACATGGTTACCATTTTCGATCCTCACCCGTCGAAGTGCAGTTGAAATGCACTGAAACCAAGTTGCATCTTTGTAGTGAGTAAAATAGTTTTGTCTATATGATAAAATTATAATAAATAAATAATTATCGCTCTACCATCAGTATCGGGCCCTCTTTTGGACTGATACTGTGAACGTTGGAATTTATATATTACATTCGTTCTCATCGCGTCGGGTATATATATTTTCATTCATAACGGATTCGGAGGTTTTTGTATATTATTTGAATTGTTTGCGACGATGGAATTCTCGCCAATTAAATCATTAACCTTTGCATTTGTTTTTGTGTGAATAATTCATGAATTTGTAAATTGATTGCACGTTTATCGAAATTAAAATAACTGATCCAAGTGCGACTTTTGGATAATAAGTGCGACATTACTGTAATTATTGAACAATATAGTTCATGCCACTTTGACAGAAAATTTACCATTAAAAAATTCGTTTATCACCATATTTGTACATGAACGCACAACTGTAAAAATTTAAAATCAAACTCAGCGTTGCTATTGCACGCTCCAAAACAATAACTCATTTCCAATAGCATTTTCGGATACAACAATACATATATTTTTCGTTGTCCTCTTATTACTAAGAGAAAAAAAACAAGAACAACATCTATTCCATACCTGAAGATGTCTGTAGGAACAGACGAAAGCTTGTAGTAAAAATAAAAACTAATACGGCAGAAATTTATAGAAACAAGGATCTTTTCATTCATAACGGATTCGGAGGTTTTTGTATATTATTTGAATTGTTTGCGACGATGGATTTCTCGCCAATTAAATCATTAACCTTTGCATTTGTTTTTGTGTGAATAATTCATGAAATATATATATATATATATATATATGGAGAGATAGAGAGAGAGAGATAGAGAGAGAGAGAGATTTTAAGAGTGTCCTGTATTTCAAAATTTCTAATCTGGCATCCTTATTCAAAG